CTCCGGGGATCAGGACGTGTGGGTTGTGGAATCAAATTGGAAATTGGCATGATAGTTTTCCGCCTGCAAGCCTTCGCCAGCGAACCCGGTATCAGACCTTAGAGAAGTGAGCTTTGGATGTAGGTACGGGTGGTCATTTAGCTGGATGTTCTACTACTTAAGGTGGGTCCAGACTGACATTCACGACTGCAGAGGTTCGACGTGAAGTTGGAGTAGTAGTCACCATTTTGGCATGATTATGAGGCGGAGTACGAGTGCTGCGGTTTGCCATGAAACTTCGTTCTGTAGCCCAGGACGTAAACAAAGTTTTTACCAACAAAGATAGGGGCGACTGGAATGTCGCCTGTGACTCATTTATATGCTGTAAACACTAGATCACTAGACAATCCCACCTTAATCCGCTTACAACTCCAACGAAACTTTTGCAATTGTCAACCAGTCTCAGTATAAGAAGCATTTAGACTTAAATGGAGAATCAGAAATGCGGTCGATCAGCGGTGTAGTCATAGTTGGTTGAGCTCTCAGACCAGTATAGGAATGAATCAAACTCTCCGTCTGTTGTATCAGAACCCGGGATGCTTGTTCGTGTTCTTTTTCGAAAATTTTAACTTTACGCGTACCTTAAGCAGATACCTTATTAATTTTGGAAACCAACAACCTCCGTTCATTGTAGCGACCAGGTCCTCCGGCCTTCGTTCGAGTGGCGACAACTTCCTATGAAGCCCTGTTTCAACTTACTGGAATGCCGAGTCCTGTTATGCCGAGCTTGTCCATGCAGCGGTATATGTGAAGAAACAGGGGATGACGGGATAGCGAGTGTTTCGCGAGCATTTTAGAGCTCTTCATTCAGCCACGCCCTCAGCCAGCACATAGAAGCCCGAAAGTACACAAATAAGATGGTACTTGGTAATAATAAGTAGCACTTATTTTCTGCTTTAACTGTCCTCCATATAACTTTATTCCTCAACGAGAGACACCGACTTCTTACTTTGCGACACGCCAACCGGATTTGTGTGCACCCATGTAAGTTTAAATGCCAATAGTAGCTAAGGAAAGTGGCTCTGCCACGAACTTACAGTCCTCTGGCGAGAACAGTGGTATGCGTAACTTACTAGGACCCAAATTTTCCCTTCAGACTTCCTATCTTTCCTATGCTGGGTCCGGATGCATTTTATGAATGCCATGGGTGAAGTTATAATCACTGTCTTTACCTAATATCCATAATTCCCATTAAGGTGATTCTCGGAATGCTGTTTGCTAAGCGTGGAACTTTGTGCCTGCAGGCTCATAAATAATGAAAAAAAAGCTTTCAGGCAGCATTTGTTGTCCATACTATTCGTCCAACGATTGTGCTAATAATCTATCCTCTTTGATTTTCCACCCTATCTGAAGCAAGTCCAATCCGTAAGTGACCTATCCATCCAACGAAATGTTAACAGAAATATTGTAATGCATTTTCGATTAGAACGAATTACTTATGTAGGGTTGTAACATTGATTATCATGCAGCATGATCCCAATGATATTTCAGTCAGCTTTTAACTGCGCCTCTTTGTGGCCGTCTGAAATATCTCGCGATTATGCTGCATTACAACCATTATTATGACCCCATTTAAGTAATCCCTTCTACTTGCAAACGCATTTCAGAATCTCCTTTAACGTTCATGAGATAGGTAACTTACTGTGTAATATGACAGTCCATGTTCAGTTTGATGACGGTTAGGGATATCTGAAAGGAGGCAGGGTTAAGGCACTGTTGTCTGCTTTGCGGTACAGTGCGAATTCAAGAAAAAAATTCAAAGACATACTCCCATCTATAGCCAATGAAGGCTTCGACCCCCGCGATACGGTGGCTCAATGTCCAACCACGGCTCTGAAAACCCAACTGCTCTACAGTAAAACAAGCACTTCTGGGAGATAAACGTAGTTCAGCACAAGTCAACTGCAAGATCAGGTGGCGTTTAGCATTTTAGGCCAATGGATACTGACCGTGGTTGCCAGGACTAATTGCTGACCAAGGTAGTCCATGACTCTAATCTTGGCCGTCAACTCCCATCTCGCAGTCATTAGAGGAAACCTCGACGTCATCAGGAGGACACGTAGCCGGTCTCCAGTTTCGTGAGGCGAGTATTGATATGTGCAGTGCGGTGTTAGGGGGTGTCCAGCTAGGGGCACCTGTGCACGGTCGAATCACGTAAACAGTGACTGCTTCTCACAGCCCTTAACTGACACCCAACCCTCACTTGTGGTTCCCCAAGCTAGGCTCTGCCTAGCGGTCATACCCGGATAACCGTCCCGACCAGATGAGGGTATCCCGGTGCTCCACACCCGATAATTCTGCTTCCACCCCCCCCCCCACTCTCGCCTCCTTCCTCCCCACCCTCCCGGTTGCTTCTCATTCCATTATCTCCCCTTCTATCTCAAAAAATCCTACTGGGAGGGAGACATTCAATGCAGTAGGCGGCCCGGACTGACCTAGGCCAGTACCCCAATAAAGTGATCCGTAACCTATAGTGGATTTTGGCAACCGTGTAAGACGTCTGAGCAGCCCTATTTAGAGACAGCAGTGCTTACTCCCTCACGGGGAAGAGGTTAGAAATGGCCCCTGGGCAAATGGTGGGATCACGTCATCTGCATGCAGACTCTGGCTGGCAGATAGACAACTGGCAGTTGAAACAATCAGACAACCCACGTGTCCATCCCCTCCCGCACCACAGTCTGCTAGAGCGAGTCCGCCAACTCATCTTAATGTGGCCTTTGTGGTCCTCTCACTCAGTCTGGACCCGAGTCGCCCCCTTTTCTTGTTAAGTTTGGAATCCAGGAGGTGTAATAACTCTCCTAGGTGAGGATACGCGCCGCGCCAACCGCTTGTGTCCTCTCCCATCTGCGACTTTTTGACTCTGTCCTGACATCGGGTCCAGGAGGATGGTGGAAGAACGAGTGAGGTAGATGCTTCGAAAGTCCACTATCAATACCAAAGAATTCACGCGCAAGTCGCCGTCCCTGCGTCCGCCCCGCTGTGGGCCATACCGTGGACATCGGCAGTCGAACTGTCGACGTGCGTGGTGCATTCTGCAACAGCTGTGTACTCCAATTTTTCTGCAGTCCTTAGGTCTCCTCTGCGAAGCGGCCGTTTGAAGTGACAGGAAGGCAAAATAAAACATGATTTTTTTCGTTTAAGTAGGAAAATAAAATTCCTGAAGATTACAAGTACTCCAAGGGCAGCGCATTCTGAACACTGGCCTCGTACATAATATCATCCAGGGCGTCTTCCCTAGAGTAGTTTGTCTTTCCCCGACTGCGAGCTGCGGCCGTCCGTTGCTGAATGTCCTCCTCGGAAACATTTGGCTTAAAGGGTAAGTCTCCACGACGAAGTTGTTTCGGAAGACGGGAATTCCAAGTCTGCCACTGTTCCACACATTTTGACTCATGCAGCGTCCAGGAACTGCGTGTGTATCGTCGACCGCAGATGTAACAGAGTTTTCCGGGCGGTCGGGTCGGCCCCTTCACAGAGCGCTGCATCATAGACTCCAGCGCCTCCCGCTCCTTCATCTCCTCCTTCTTCCGCATGAGACAGGCCTTTGCGTGAAACTCCAACGATCGGGCAGTGTAGAACTTGCGACAAGTCGGACACGTCACGTTCCTGAACCCCGGCCTGCCAAATCCCGAGCGGAGAGAAGAGGAGGTGGCGGCGGAAATCTCCTGTGAGACTGTGACGTCCTCGGAGTCACCAAATCTGACACGATGTTCAACTGAGCAGCCGCGCTTGGAGGACGGTGTCGTGCCCCCTGTAGAATCCGCATCCACCGGGGGCATCTGTACGGACTTATCAGTCTCAAGGATCTCCGTGCGATCATCCAGGGTGCTTGTGTGGTCGTCCTTGGGGTCAGACATGGGTTGCCATTTCGGATGGGGGACCTTGACGGTGGTGACGTGGCCACCTAAATTGTTTACGTTGTCGTCAGGTGTGTGAGGGGGTCTGGCTCCAGATGTCGTTGGCGAGGCTTGCTCACCAGTCTTCAAGTCGGCGTCGGCTGTGGAGTGATTTGCGTGTACGTCAGCCTTGCCGGGGGTTTCATTTGTAGTCATTTCGTATGTCGTGTTGATTGACGCCTTTTCAGTGTTATTACCTGGACCAGCGTGTATGCCTTCCCCGGGTGCCTCAGAGCCGTTAAACCTGGAGGGCTTGGATACGGGTGAGGTGGCTGAACGATGTCGATGGCCGGCGGCTTTGGGAATCTCGGTAGAGGCATAGGTGGGCTGGAGGGGTGGTCGTTTTCGGTCGTTTATGGTGGATAAGTAGGCACTGACCCTTGTGTTCTTGTTTTCTGTGGCACGTTGGGGACGTGTGGGCTTTTGGCTATCCCTGAGGCGCATCATTGTGCACGAAATCGCACTCAGGTAAGTGTGCGGTCGACTGTGCGCGACCCTGTGTTTGGGTCACGTGACAGTATCGACCACATTTCAAGAGTCTCCACGTGCCGGCACAATGTGTTGCGTGTTGACTGTTAATGAGTTAGCAGATATGTGCTCATGCCACCTTGTAAATCAAGCTTGTATTCAGTTATTTTTCAACAGATAGTTTGTCTGAGACTGGGGCTTCGCATTAGATGGCAACCACATAAGTCGTCGGATGGTCCGGTAAGAGTCCCCCGACCCTGGGGCGATTAACAGATGCAAGGACTTCCCTCCAGTCTAAAACATGTCAAGACTGTCTAGACAGAGTAATTGCTCAGACGACAGACATGTGGATGAACATTATTAGGGGAATGATGTTGAAGAGTTTGATCGAGAATTCGTCAGCGCGTTAATTACAAAACACTGGCAGCTTAACCTCAGCGAAGTCAGAAAGATGACCGTGCAAGTCTAGTACCAGGCGCCAAGAGAAAAAGGGCATACATGGAAATTTGAAAAGTAAAAAGATTCTCCTTGGGGGGGATAGATCTGACAACTGGAAATGTCACCCCCTTGTCAACTAAGCGTATGACCCTCACTGTTGAGGTTGGTATCTCACTCGATCCCCTTACCGTCGAGGAGTAGCACCGATTTACAATGACATGAAGTATAAAAATATTACTTGGTAATAATAAGTAGTACTAATATTGTGTTATTCTCTGTAGACCACAGGCAAGGGAACGTACCCCCTCCGATGGGCCGCAGTCTCAAAAGACCCCCATGTTAACTCCTTTGAACATTTTGCATGCCAGCTTGTCGGGGTAGGATATAAAGTGCGTCGGGAGTCTGGAAATCTGTATCTTCCCTAGTGCACAAACATTTAGGATTTACGCGTCGCTGCGCGGCTACTGGTTGGGCTAATACGATTTACGAATGAACACATCCTCGATCCACTTTAGGTCCAAAGGCATGCTTTCCTTTGCCGGAGACGCTGCAGTATATTTCAACCTGGTAATTTATGGACAGCAAATTGTAGGACAGGGTAATTGAAGAATCATACTATTGCACTAGCGAGAAAACGAATAAAAATTGAAGTGATGATTGTCATAACAAGTGGAACGAATAAAACCCTTCTTATTGAAATGTACAACACACGAAAAGCTTTTGCTGAAACTAAAACAATCATTTTATTGACGATCGAAGGATGAGGAAACGCAGAAACTTTGGGTCATGCTAGGTGGCCTAATCAATCGTTTTTAGCAGGTGTTGCTGACAAAGATTAAGACGTTGACTATTTGTGGTCTGACAGTCAGCCTCATCTGATGGTATACCAAACATGGTTTCTGGCGCATTCAAGATTCATGTTTTCAGCCGATGGGTCACGTTTTGTTGGCAGACTCTTTCGAAGGTGTGGTATTTCCTCACCTCGTCTCACAGCCGATTTATGCACCTGTATGCGTGATCCGAACATGCGTTCAGGCTGACCTGCGTAGGTACCCTGGTAGTTTGCGCATGGGATATAATAAACGACATCAGGATACAATATTTCTTTTTATCGATCCATTCTTTTCCGGATTTTAGACATAGCAATAAAGTTGGCATTACTCACGGGGAATGCAAGCCTGACGTAATGCAACTGTTAGGGTTACTCAAACAAAAATTGGATACATTTTACTTCGAAAAGAATCGAAAATTGTGAGTGGACGTGTGCTCTTTGTAGACAGCAATCAAATAATATTCACGCAAACGCCTGGTTGTTGCAGACGACTGCCTTGCGTGCGTTCTTGTTGAAAATAGCATAAAGATTTAGAAATAACGACTAAGATGTAGGGTGCGACTCTACTGAAGGATCCGAAACCAGGTCATCGAGTTTCATGCGTGGTGCTAAACGATGGAAAGGGGAGCTTGATAGTAAGTAGGCATTCGCAAAAATCTTTAGGTTACATACTGTACTCTTGCCTTAGATGTCCCTACAGCTACTTGCAAAGGAGTACACGTATCAGGAACCCCCCCCCCCCGAGGAATGATGCGAGCACCAAGATATTTGACAGTACGACCAAACGTATGATATTTTTTGCAGTTTTCCGAGTTTTTTTCACAAAAGAAGAAGATCAAATTTCATCTAATTACGACAGTGCAGAAGCATAAAGCATATAAAAAAGACGACGATACAATGTGACCCGATGACCTGGTTTTGCTGATAGAAGCGAACAGGGGAGTTCCGGCGAGAGAAATACGACGAAACGGAGAATCGTCTCGGACACGCCCAAATCCTCCAGCTCCTGAAGTTCTGTCTCAAGATGTACTTTACGTTCGACGGAACAATCTAGAAGCAGGTGAAGGGAATACCAATGGGTTCGCTGATTTCGGGACTCATAGCCGAGGCGGTCATACAACGGCTGGAGTCGCTGGTTTTCCGACACCACAGACCGAAACACTGGACTCGGCATGTGGATGACACCTTCGTCATCATCGAACGGGATCAGATGCTGACATTCAAAGAACATCTCAACGCCGTCTTCCCGGGCATTCAATTTACACTGGAGGAGGAGGAAAACAATCAGCTGGCCTTCCTGGATGTTCTCGTCTGCCACAAAGATTGTGGTGGCCTAAAAACCAAAGTGTTCAGGAAAACGACAAATACGACGCAAATACTGAACTTCAAAAACAACCACCCGATCAGTCACAAACGCAGTTGCGTAATGGCGCTATACCGGCGCGCTGAGACACACGTGAGTCTCAACACCTGGCCACACCTTGCAGTACTGCAGTGAAATGGAAGACAACGTTGCTGAATTACAATATCTTCGACTGGTAATGAGAGCCAATGGTTAACCGCGCAACTTTGTCAACCAGTGCATACGAAAAAGACGCCAGAGACCAAATCCAACCGGCCCCAAATTTTGGCGGGCTCTTTCGTGCGTGCAGAACGTCTCGGAAGCCGTCAGTAGTCTTCTCACTCCACTTGGAGTTGGGGTTGCACACAGGCCAGAAGCAACCATTAGGCGCCAAGTCATGAGGCCAAAAGACCCGCTGCCACGGCAGGAAACGTCTGGAGTCGTTAACCGGATCTGGTGTAGATGCGGACAAAGCAACTATGTTGGAGAAACTGAGAGATTACTCCCTACGCGAATAGCCTAGCACGCAGCAGCAGTGAGGCGGGGAGACACTAACTCTCAGGTGGCGGAACACTCGAAGGAATCCGGCCATAAATTCAAAATTCAAGAGGCCGAAATCCTCGCAAGGGGTGACAACCGCGTGAACATGCTTTCTTCTCCGTGGACACGACGAGGGACCCAAAAAAAACAGACAGATGCCGTCGATTGGAAATCTCGTGACGATTGAACTCAGCCCCATTGGGTGGTAGCGATCGGATCACGTGCGGGTCAATAATATGCGGAGGCAAGGGATATCACATCAACCATATCCACAAAAAACCAGCTCGACTCATCTAATGGGAAAAGTCAGTTAAATGTTAAAGTCAGTTAAATTTATTCTGTACTCAGACAGGTCGCCGTATGCTTGTAGTTTGCTTCTGTGTCAGAAGAAGACGTCCACACGGGAGCGATGAGTAGCGGTGTGTTGTTTGTACCGGTCGGACATGGCCGTGTCAGTATGAGAGCATGATTCT